TTTTTTTTTTAATGCTTTTCTCCTGGGAAGTTAAAAGGTCTCTTGCCTGTGTTTGAGGCCAGGCCTGTAGGGATCACACACAGTCCTTTCTCCAGCATAAGGGAAGGAGGAACTAGAATAACTGCATTCAGGTGGCCGGGATGTGAATCATGTCTGTGATGCAAAGCAGCCCTGATGCTCTTTACTTGAATTCCCCAGGTTTATAACTCTTCCGAATGGCGTCCTCCAGATTCTGGATGTGCAAGAGAGCGACTCTGGGGCTTACCGCTGTGTAGCGACCAATGCGGCACGGAAACGCTACAGCAGTGATGCCATCTTGAGTGTGCTTAAAGGTGAGATGCAGCTGGGGTCGCCTGGCCGGGCAGGTCTGTGGGGGAGAGTAAGCCTCAGAAGCAGCAGCCAGCTGACGTGAAGCACTGGGGGGTATTCTTTCTCTCCATCACAATGGTCTGGGCTGTAGTAGAGCTAGTTTCCCAGGGGTGGCAGGTGGCTGGGACTGTTGGGCTTATTTTAATGGGATGTGTTTGCATCTGTTGCTTCTTGGTGCTTCCTCACATGCTCCATTTTGTAGGTTACACTAAATTTGGGGTGGCATTTGCACCTTATAAGCTCCACTTTGGGAGGAGGTTGGAGCAGAACTGAGGCACCCTAAAGCCAGTGATGCTGGCACTGTGTTGGTTTCTCTGTATGGCCCCTGTGTACTGACCTGGAGAAGGCTTGAAGGGGCAGCATGAATAGTGTGGGATTTTCAGAGGTACCAAAGTAATTAACATGCCCAAATCCTATTGCACTTTGGGCTTCTAACTCACTTGGGCTCCTTGGACTATCCCATCTTAGTCTCTGGATGCCCACACAGTTGCTTACGTGGACTGTGTTCATGTATAACCTGTGGGATGGCTGAGCTGGGGTTGTACAGAGCCATGCCACAAGCACTATAAACATGAGGCTCTTTTGTGTCCAATCCAGGGCTAGGAGTGAAAGACCCTGAGAGGGTCGGGGGGCAGTCCCTGTAGTGCAGTGCTTTGTGCCTCAGGGGGGCCTTGACTTGTTTTAATTCTGCCAGAGGGCAGGGGGTCATACTGGGCACATCCTACTGTGCCCAGAGTCACAGCTGGCCACCACGCTGTGTGTGTGGCTTATATACCGGTTCAGTGGATGTTTCCTGACTGGAGGCAGTGAAAGTGGCTCTTGAACTGCAGGGATGTGGGGAAGAGCTGGGAAAGCAGATAGAATCCATTCTCCATCGCAGCTGAGCTGAGTTGTGAGCTGGATACGCCATTCCCTTGATAACGTTTGTGTTCTCTGGGGGATCGGAAAGGTATAAGATCCATGGACTCCAGTGGATTAGGATCTGTCTGCCCTGTGAAACCTAGACCTTCATACCCCTCACACCATGGTGGCAGCTGAGATCTGCATCTGCTACATCCCACCATTCCTGACCCTGGGCTGAGGTGTCCTTCCTCCTCGGACAGGCTGTAGTGACCAAGCATTGGGCACCCTTGTGAGTTGATGCTCCGTGCGTGCAGTTGTTGGTTAATGCATCTCCTTGAGAAAATGCAGTTCACATGAATTTCCTCCCTGTCTCTGGAAAATCCTCATTTTCCTCCCATGGGTTTGGTTGCCTTTTGTGTCTTTGTCCCTCTGGACATCTCTCTTGCTGGGCAGGAAACTTGGAAGATAGTTTTAGCTGGGGATTTTTTGGGTCAGCACAGCCTTATGACAGATGAAGAAGAGTGAGATTCTCTCCTTGTGACAACTTAGCAAGAGTTTATTACAGAGCCCAGGGATATATTTGGCTTAATGAGAGCCTGTTTGGTGACTCTCTTTTCAAACACTGTGTGCTAAGGTGAAGTTGCAGATGAACGTGTTTCTTATTGCTTCCAAGAAGGAGGTGCTTCCTTTGGGACCATGGTGGTAATGACTTCACGTGGTCTGCCCCAGGAGCCCAGCTCGCATGCCTGCAGCTCTGGAGCGAGCAGCAGAGGAACCTCTCAGGTGGTCTGTTTTTGATACTGAAGTACAGCAAGTTTGAGCTGCAGCAGTTTGGGTTGGTACTTCTGGGTCTGTCCCATCACTGGTTAAGTAACATTAAGCGACAGCAGAAGAGGAATCAAGAAAAGGCATTTGGACATTTTCCAAAGGCCGATCATTCCTGCACAATGTTTCTTACAAACCTATCAGGAAAAAGAAGGGCTTGGAAACTTGAGGCCATTAAAGTATCTGGTCTTGGCTGTGCTGAGTGGATGGTGTTGAACACAGAGCAGAACAAACTGCATCCTTTGAAAGGAGCTTGTGCTTCATTCTCAGAAGAGTCCCTACATTTCCATACAGAACATCTATACTCATGGGTAGAGGTAGCCTGCAACTGGCCTACAGGTGAGCCTCCTGCTCTTGAGCATGGATAGTCCTGATGTCTGGAGAGCAGGGTTTTACCTATTTAAAGACTCCACAGTACATCACCTAGGATTTCTGGGGTGTCCTGCATTGGCCTTGCAGGCAGAGACTGTGGGCTTAGTTTGCCTGTTAACAGAGGGGTTGAAACCAGTTTGGTGGCTCTGCCTATGGCTGTGGAGGGCAGGGGGGTGTTACCATGTCAAGGGGGTTGAGGCGAGTGGATTTGTAGAAGCCATGGGGCCTGGCCCGGTAGGGGACATGGAGCACGACTCCCCATGCTGCTGTATTGGAGCCTTGGTCTGGCCTTCACCTTCTAGTTATAAAATGCTTCAGAATAACTGAGGTGGGAATAGAAAAAGGCTCATAGGCCCTGGGAGAAAGGCAGCTCGTTCTTGCGTGGATAATCGTGGTAATAAAAACACTTCACACTTTCTGCCTGAAGGCTGGGAATCACTTTGCTACCTTGGGTTAATTAACCCTCACCGTGCCCTTGTGCGGTAAGAAGTGTGGTTATTTGAATGAAAGGAGCACCTGTTATAGTCTAAATAGGCAAGAAAGGAGTAGGGTTAGGAGATGCAGGGAGAGAAGTGAAGTGCCCTGGGGTAGATATGACAGGCCAGAGTCTGGAGGTGAAGCCAGGCGTCCAGACTCCAGGGATCACATCCTGCGTGGTAGACCTTGCTTCCCCTTGCATTTTACAGTGGGAGAAGCTGAGGCACACAGTGGTTAGACAGGATGCCCAGGGGCACAGCGCAAGAGTGGAGGTCGTGACATAAGAGTCCTGGTGCTTTTTTCCCCACCCCTTTGGCCTTTCTCTGCTCTGGCTCTTGTTGAACCTGAGGTATTTTTAGGCAGTGCAAGCTATGAAGCCCTTCCTAGGCCCTTTTTTGTCTTCCTTTTTGAAGCGACTCACTGGCTTCCCCGCTACCAGTGCATTTTCACGTGGCTGCCTGTGCGGCTCATCCATCAGCAGGGAGTGTAATTAACTGTGGAGTCCAAGAATATACCTTTGATCAATGAATTGCGTTAGGGAGGTAATCTGTGTGGAATCTACAGAGAATTCTTGAGCCGTCATACACTCTGTATCTAATTACCAGCCCCTGCCAGATCCTCGGCATTGCTAATGAAACACAGGGTAACAGGGGAGCTTTTCCAGCAAGCATTTCTGCATGCTCCCTGCCTTGCCCAGCTTGGCTATTGATAAGTAGTATTGATCACACGGCACATTTGGATACCAGTGTCATTCATTCTATTTTCTGCATAATTGCACCTTGTAACTTTAAGAGATTTAATCTGCTTTGCAAATTGAAAGCCATGGAAGAGGTTAAGCAGGTAGCATTCCTGCCGCAACGCCAGCAGGCCCGAGCAGATTCCCCTTCCCAGGCACCGAGCTGCCTGCCGATCAGGCAGAGGAGCACTCTAGGTTGGCTTTTTCCGTCTGATTGGGCTCACCGGGATGCAAATCGTGCGTCTCTATGAAGTCTCTGGAGATGTAGCAGCAGGGAAAGTCAGGTGAGAAGCAGAGGCGGCTTCTGGAAGTGACAGGCCCGTCCGGGAGCGATGGGTGCTTTGAGGTTTTTTGGGGTGTCTCCCCCCCTCCCCCCCCAAGGGATTTCTGTCAGGAGTGTGGTATTTGGGCAGTTTTGGTGAGTGGCTCCTTCTTGCCCCTGCACTCTCCCTTCAGTCATTAAATGGCAGTGAATGTTAACCAATGTTAAACCCCTGGTTTGGTGCCAAAAAGATGAACCAGGTCTAGTTAGTGCAGGGAAAAAGGTGCCTCAGTGATGGCTCTGGAGATGGGCATCCTCTCTTTTACCCACCCACACAGGCAACTGGTGGGGGGAGCACGGGGGAGCATGTTCCCTCCCGAGATTGCCCCATCCTGAGCAGTGCTGAGTCAGGGGCCTGTTTTTTTTTTAGCGTGAGCTGACAGCATGTTGAGGGGTGCACTAAGCTGTGGCACAGAAGTATAGGAGTGGATATGGGGCTTTTGGCCAACCCTTGGCCCACCCACGAACTGTGCCGCCCCAGACTCAGGAGGCACCAGTTGCCCCTGCCCAGCCAGCAGACTCCAGCTCATGGACATCCCCTTCTTCCCTACGAACTTGTGGTGAATGCCTCACCAGGCTCCATCCTGTCCTTGACTCCTTTGCTGATAACATCGCTCATGGTCAGAGATCTGACCGTGGGGATCAGGAGGCCAGAGACTGGCACAGAAGTGTATTTTCACCAAACAATATGCTGCAGAACCTGCTTCCCGTAGACCCTCAAATGCCTCTTCCTCGTGACGCCCCCTCGCTGCCAGACACAGCTGGATTTGAGCAGCCTTGGGCCCGTCCAGCCTCTGCCTTTATCTGTTTCCGATGCAGCAGTGAGATGCTCTTCCACGCTCCTGGTTACCTGTGTGTTCTCAGTAGAGAGGAGGATTTGCACTGTGCTTCTTCTGAACCACTCATGCAGTCGAAGGAGCCAAAGCGCTGTTGTGCCCCTGGCCCGTGTAACTTTTCCCTCCATTTCCAGCGCTCAGCCTTGTGTCTTGATGACCTAGCTGTGCTTTGGCCTCAGATTAGCAGCAACTGTGGCAAATGGTGCTGTATCGGCCGCAGATGTTTCAGCCGCTCAGACTTCACGGTGTAAATTTCCAGACATTCCTTGGGGAGACGACTTTCGAAGCAGGAATGAGGGGACTAGGACTTAACAGGACCCAGTCATGCCTCCCTGAAACAGAGCAGCGGCCTTCTGCTGTAGAAATAGAAACAGGGATCAACCCAATTTTCCTCTTTGCTCTCACCGGCTTCCCCAGCAGACGGGGCCTCCAGGCTACAAGTGCAAAGCACATCTGCCCACCCCACCCCACCACCCATCACCTGTACAGATGGTGACTGAGCCCTAGATCCCAGCTTTTGCTCTCTGCCAAAAACGGCATTAAGAACTGGCT